TACAACTTATTAACACCTTAATAAACTTCACCCGGGTCAACCGAATGAACTATCGACATTATACTACCTACTATATATGCTGACTGAAAACACCACTAATGATAATGACACACCTGTCAACAAAATTGTAAGTGAGTAACAAATTATTTAATCATACGTATCTAAATAGGTTCTGAACAAATCAATTTACTATGCGATACGCGAATTTGTCAGCCTGTTAGAGACACAGATGATGGATGATCATCTTTATTTATTGTTTATAAAATAAATAATAGAGATTGCCTGGTGATCGAACTTCGATCATAATTCATTAATATGTAAATGGTTTTTTATCGACCAAAGGATTTTCAACTGTCATTGTAAAAACTTTGCGTCATATATCCGTTTTTGCATTATTATTAAACGTAATGATTTCTGCACTTCTTACACTTGTAAGGTATTAAGGTAATTTTACATTTTCCTATTGTAAAAGGCTCTGAGTTTCTTGATAGCAAAGTAGGCTTTTGGTGGTAGGCAACTCTTGACTGATGGGCACGGGAGCCCTTAAAACGAGCCTAGATTATGAGCAGGATATAATACAACAATATCAACATAAAATGTTGAACTTCTTTAAGCCGTAGCAGAAATCAAATCTTTGTTGAATGTGCACTGAAGAGTCTTTTTGGGAAACCGTATCATCTTTTTCCTGATAACCTGCATCGCCAGCCTATAACAGTCCACTGCTGGACATAGGCCTCTCCTTAGAAAGGAGGTTTTTTCCTACCATACCACGCGGGCTAGACGGGTTGATATAGGGTTTGTTTCAAGTTTTCCTTCTCTTTGCAACCTTATAACCTTGATAGCCACTTAACTTGTACTCCCTCACTTCGCTCACACTCATGACCTAAAACAATTAAAACGGTTAAAAACCAGGCGGTACTACTTCAAAGCACTTTTACTCTCAAGTACCTCTCTATATTTTATTAAAGAAATTAGAAAAGTAATCTTGTATAATTTTTTTAAACTTTAATTGAATTGAAAGTCTAAAAAATTTATGATCACTTAACAGACAAAGAATGCTATCGATTTTTCCGAGCACATGTCAATGCAATAGATAAAATCAACCCAATACTTTGAAAAAATACTTAACATTATCTATAATAAATAAGTACTCTAGTCTTTTTTAATACAAAGAACATACCATAACCCAAAATAACCTTGAACATTTCAACATGTCAATAAATAAAATATTATCATTCATCGTGAACAATTAAAGCTAAGTACTTATAATAACACAATTAGAGAATGTCCATCACCACGGACTAACCGACGTACATATTGACACCTTCTTAACCTTGTCCAGAGCAATTAAATATATGGACCCCAACCGACGGCTTAGTTATAAAGATAATGAATATGATGATAAGAAAATGGTGGGTATCACCATCACGATCTCGTGTAGCGGGTGACCTGATATGTTTTGTCGATGATGTATTGGTTTTGGCCAAGATGTGTTGTTCATGCGTCCCGAATTACTTGTACGATGGTTCAGTATAGATTGAATTTATTTGTGACATGGTGATCACTATTACACTGAAATAATTTAGTTATTGAATTTGATGAACTTTCAAAAATATGTTTTTAAGTACTGTACTGATAGATGTATGTATATTAATATTTTAAATTTTAACAAGCTTTTATTTGCTTTTTATGTATGTAATGTATGTAACGGCATCTTCGAACGTGATTTTGCCCCACTTTAAAAAGTCGAATTAAATTGCAACTTCTCATGTTTAACAAAGACAATACAATAATTTGATAAATTTGGCTGATTATCCTGATCAGAATCTTTAGAATTAACGGCTTTTTCTATACCTAAAAAGAAGGTTCCAGGTCCTTTTGCTACGTACTAAGAGGCGTGTGCAAGCAAGCATATGTGCTTGTTAATTTTTTAAGTGTTAAGGAAAAAATAATTATCACTTATGACTAAAACAGCAAAAATAGATAGCCCTAGACAATAATTTTCTATTACTTTAAAACGAAAAATTACTTTATCGTAAAAAAACGTGGGGTGTTTTTCAATAAATTTTATAATTTAATAACTTTACTTTTACCAATATCTGTCATTTTTATTGGACAACAATTGAGATCTAGCACCCCAGAAAATTATTATTTACTTTTCAGTTCGTCTTGTTACCAAACATGTTTGTTAATTTTTTTAAACTATTATTTATTTATTTTCTTATTTAATGTCATACGTAAAACCACTCACGCCTATATACCCGAAGGGGTAGGGTAGAGGAGTATTTAACGCAAACATTTTACCAACTATGTTGTTAGTCTCACTTACGTAATAGAGTACAAGTCGATGCAAGCCTTAGCTTGCATCGAGTTGTACTCTATGCAAATCCAAAAGGACCAAAATAATGGTAATCATACCATTATTTTGGTCCTTTAGGATTTGCATGGTAAAATTGGGAGAACTTTAAAAGGAATGGTAGATTGGAAAACAATGATGTGAAATGTGTATTGCCTTAATGAGTGCACTGGACAATTTTATTCAACATCTATTTAAACAGTGAACTTTACTGTTTAAAATATATCTTTGAAACTTTGATTTATACATATCACATTAATAGCCATTAAAATTCCACTGCTGAACATAGGCCTCTCCTTAGAAATGAGGTTTTGGCCTATACTACATTGGCCAGACGGGTTGGTATAGGGTTTGTGTCAAGTTTTCCTTCTCTTTGCAGTGCTGTTGTACCAGTTTGCTCATCTTGGTTGGCTCTTACGACACCCACGGGATAAATAGGGATGGTGACATTCCGTATTCTTAATCCGTCACCGCACCGCACATATTTACAAACCATACATACAAACCATTTTTTTTTTTCTCCTTTTTTTTTTCTTAAATTTTGTACTCTTGCACAACTATATTGTAACCACCTCACAAAGGTATTTTGAATTGTCAAGACGAGGTCCGAGTGGGGACCTGGTGTCCTGTACACAGGTACACAGGTTTTTATACCTACCTCAGGCACAGCCAGCTATCCACTACCGAAATTGTCAAATGTTATAGCGTAATCGTATTTTCATTGTATGCATTTTGGTTTTGGTGAGAAAATAAACGATATTATTATTATTATACATATAAGCGAACACAGTTAGTTGCCTACTATTATTTAATTTGTATTTGTACAACTAGATATGTCGTTGTCTTCGACTTTCTCACGCTTAATGTTTATCAATTAATCATCATAATAACTAAATAAAGTACAAATATTTTACTTGATAAACTTCGATGATAAAATCAAATTTATTTTTTACAAGAAGGAGCATTCCGAAAAATATGATGTTATCTTTTAACTGTCCCCGTCTTTAGAGAATACTTTCCCATGGTTATAGAATTATACATATATTAAAAAATATCGAACAATTGCGAGTTGTAATCTAGCAGGATGGGTTCCGTACTATCGTTTGAAATTCATAATAACGTAGTTTAGTTTAGCTGATAAGCTTTTAATTTAACTATATTATACTAACTTAAATCCTAGTTACTGCAGCGCATCGGAGATGTTTGCGCAAGCTCACACCGATAGTTTTCACGTGTAATGGCGTAAAAAACAGCTACATTACTGAGAAGGGTGAGAGACAGTCGGAACAGCATCCTGAACATTATAGCGGATAATTTTAACTCTTCGGTTATATAAACACTCACTGAGCAGAGACAGAGAAAATTTTAATTTATATGGGACTAGCTGATCCGTGCAACTTTATCCGCGTCTCTCAAAGGGAATAAATTTTCCACTTTTTCAACTTTTTCAACATTTTTCATCAGCCCTAGCCTTATAGTCTTTATCGCTTAATAGGCTATCCAACACTAAAAGAATTTTTCAATTCGGGAGAGTAGTACCGGAGATTAACCTGAACATAAAAATCTCCAAAACTTCAGCTCTTTATAATATTCGTTTAGATTTACGCAATCAATAGGTAACGCGTGCATTAATTAAAACAATTATATTTTATGAATAAATAAATCAAAATGATTACTCTAGCTAAATCGGTATCCATTTTTGGCCTCACAATCCTGTAACAGCCTGTATATGTTTTGTAACATCTATCTATGCATACATTTTTAGGTGTACAATAAAGAGTATTCATTCATTCATTCATTCATTCATTAACTCATTTATTCATTCATTCATTCATGGCTGGCGACAGGAGAAATAGTCAAAGAAACTTGTCTCAAAATTTCACTTCATGGGAACCTATTTCGATTGAGTATAGAGATCCATAATAGAGTGCTTCAGTACAATAGTTTAATGGCCATCATTACTTTGTTAGTTCTTTCAAGTCTATTGTCATAATCTGATCCATTTTAGGTCCGTGTTGTGTAATTTAGACCTTAACACGATCTGAATAAATTTGCTTACGCCATTGGAGATGGAAGCGTGAGAATTAAGCTTTCCGAATCCGGGTTCAAATTATCATACGAACAGAAATTTGCATAAGATTTTTACGAAAAAAATATTACTAATCCTTGTTTAAACGCAACTTAATAATTATAAACAATATTGTTTGATAAAAAACCACATATCCGTATCACCACCCCTATTCATCTCGTGAGAGCCGACTAAAGGACTAAACGACGCAGGACAACAGCACTGCAAAGAGAAGGAAAACTTCTATACCAGCCCGTCTGGCCATCGTGGTATAGTAGTCCAAAACCTTCTTTTTAAGAAGAGACCTATGTCCAGACTAGTAAAGGCTATTTGTGAAAACAATATCTGATTTTGAAATCTGATCTGAAAATATCTTAATTATTTTTGCCCTGTTCCTATTCCTAATTTTATTTGGGGTCTTCTTCTTAATTTATTTATTATTAACTTCGTTTAGTTTCTGCTTATCTTCTATTCTAAGTGTTATACTATAATGAAGTAAAATCACATAATATCATCTTCTTGTGTTTCCCCTTGTTCTATTCGGGGTCGGTGCACCGAGTAGTAGAGCAAAAGGTTATGGCTGTTTTTTTAGCCGGCCACCTGCTTAACGCCATCCACTCCTGGGGAACCCAGTTGTTTTCAAAAGGGATAAAAGTTAAGGAAAATTATGGCAAGGTAAACGTACAGAACGTACCCATATAAATATAGAAAAAAATAATCCTTAGAATATAATGCTGTCCAACATTACTACGGCCGCAATGTCTTTGGTTCCCAAGTTAGGTTAGTTAATTTCTAAATATTGAGTAGGGTTTTTTATGGGAATTTAAAAACGGTAGGACAGAAGTTGTTTTTAAGAACAGTCGTATTTTAAAACAAAAATGGCACTCGTAGGTTTTAGTACCCAGCTCAGTACCACTTTAATTTATGTACATGTTATTTGCTGTAAATACATTTGACGTTTTTCTTCTAGCGACATCTTCTGATAATTATTCCTAACTAGTGCATTCGTGCATGTATTAACCCCAATTAGGAGTTACTCACTCTACTATGTACGTTGTATAATATTTTAGTAGTTATTTTTAACCATCGTGGCTTTTGATAAATTAAATCTAATATAAAATTGTGGTAGTAGCCTGAACGATACCAATTTGATCTTAATCTCCACATTTAGCATAAGTGGAGGGGGTATGAGGAATGGTAGTAATATTAAATCCATGTTATTAGCACAGAGTGTCACCATCCCTATTCATCCCGTGGGTGTCGTAAGAGGCGACGAAGGCAGCAAACCACGCAGGGCAACAGCCTGCATTGTCTTCTTTTAATTTTTAATAAATTATATTGTAGTGTAATTTTACTGTTTACTAGCTGACCCGGCAAACGTTGTTTTGCCATATATATTATTTCTAGGAAATATTTGAAAAAAAATGACATTTAGGGGTATGAAAACTATATGTTGGCCGATTTTCAGACCTCATCCGATGTGCACACAAAATGTCATAAAAATCGGTCCAGCCGTTTCGGTGGTAACTAACATTGTGACACGAGAATTTTATATATAAGCTAACATACTATGTAAATAGTTATTATGTCATATATTTCAATTTTGCACTATTGTATTTCAAAGGAGTACGAAAATAATAAACTTTCTTTCTTTCTTTTTACTTTCTTTCTGTGTAGCAAACGTTTCCTTTTATTGATATAAATTACCAAGTAAAAAAATATTAAATATAAATCCAATAGAAAAGAGATTCCATTAACTCCCTCCTGTTGTTAAAATATCGTCCATTGAATGAAAAACATATAAATTTGGTTAAAGATCCATAACACGAGGTTATGGCTTTGTCATCCGAATTACTAGTTATTTAGTAAGACAAATAGGTTAAAATTTACTTCCAAGAAAGCCAGTCACATTTTAATCGGTAAATCTGTAGCACCATATTATTGAAGTAATTATTTTGTGGAAAAAAAATTAATGTGACTACCACAATATTATCAAATTAAATATCACGATCAGCAAAACTATGTGTCAATCCAATTAACTGTCGGATATTAACAATTTGATCTAACTGTTACAATAAAATTAAAAGTCGAACAAAATCAATTTTTGCAATTAAGTATTATTAAAAACTAATCGCTTACGACTTCTTTGCGAAAACGAATTCTATGAAACACAATTTTTACTAACAGGGTCATTCTTTTCGCTCAAGACACTGTCAATGAATACTGTAATATTTTCACGGATCTCCAATATAAAATAAACATTGATCCCACCACATATGGGTCCACACACACGCAAGTACATATCACACACACTAATTAGAGTATCAGTAATATTGATCGAAACATTGAGTAAGAACACACACATGCAAGTCTCGGAGCATCTTCACTAATAGTACTGTCAAAGGTTAGGTCCGTGAGTACAATTTTGAGTAACTTTGTTGGTGAACGAATTTACTTGATATAAATAGGATGCAGTGATACTGATATGCACATTCGGTGATCATCCTGTGTTAGCGCAACAGCTTTAAATATGAAGCTGGTAATTTATTCTTTTCTATTAAATATTTAATGGAAAACTCCAAGTGGTTAAGTTGAAAAATAAATGTAGCAAAATTCTAATTTCATGATAATAAAATTTGTTTCGTGATTTTTAAAATGGATTGCAGTGATTTTTTTATATTATTTGATATAGAATAACAATATTATAGTATATATAACAATATAACATAAATGTTTTTGGATTATGTGTAATTAAAGTGAATTAAATATCAGTTTTCATATAGTGCAATTTATCTTAAGTACGAGTATACATGAGTTCTCATTAATTAAACATATATCACCTATCTGCCAGTCAAGGGCTTCCCTTCTAAATGAGATTTATCATTTTCTTAATGAGACAATCTCGATGTACATTAAAATGACGTATAAATATTTAATTGATAACATTGTATAATTATTTTAATTTCATCTTTTCAGCTTATAATACTGTCTGTGATAGCATGCAGCTATGGTGACAAATTAGACAGGACTTATTTGCCGCCTGAGAGCGCAGGCACCGCTGGAGGCAGTCCAGGGTCTATAGCAGCTCCAGGCACTGAAACTGAACTTGGTGTGCCTAAGGGTACAATTTTCGGTTCATCGGCCAGTCAGCCTTCAGGCCCATCATCGTTCGGTCAGCCATCAGGCACATCGTTCGGTCAGCCATCAGGCACATCGTTCGGTCAGCCATCAAGCCCATTGTTCGGTCAACCTACAGGGTCTGCCGTCGGGCAACCATCAAGTCCATCGTTCGGTCAACCTTCAGGCCCTTCGTATGGTCAGACTCAAAGCCCTTCGTACGGTCAGCCTTCAGGCCCTTCGGTCGGTCAACCTTCAGGCCCCTTGCTCGGTCAACCTGCAGGCCTTACGTTTGGTCAAGCATCAGGTCCATCAATAAGTAAATTTTCTGAATCTTCTTTCGGACAAGGCCAAAACCAAGCTGGTCCTCAATCTGGATCGACTCAACCTGGCCAACCTGGAGCTGTAACAACCGGTTCTCAATACAACCAGGCTGGTGATTCAGCTGGCGCTGGTACCCCAGGATTTTCTCAAGCAGGAAGCGAATTAAACAGCGCTCCTGGATTCAGTGGTCAATCTCAAATACCTACTTCCTATAATGGACCATCTCAACCTGATCGTGCACGTGCCTCGATCGACAAGAATGCTGAAATTTTACATTATGAGAACAACATTGATGGGGACACATTCGCTTACAGCTTCGAAACGTCGAATGGAATTGCAGCTGATGAAGCAGGTGTAGCTACTAATGGTGTCCGGGCTCAAGGGGGTTTCTCATACACTGGTGACGATGGTCAGTTCTATAGCGTGAGGTATACCGCTGACGAGAACGGGTATGTCCCTCAGGGTGATCATCTGCCGACTCCTCATCCTATACCTGAAGAGATTTTGAAGTCTTTGGAAGAGAATGCAAGAGCTGCTGCAGCTGGTACTCAAGAAGGTATGCTGTTTTAATTATTTACTTAATCATTTTGAGTTTTGACTGGCCTGTTGGGCTAGTGGTTAGTGGTCTTGACTGCTAAGCCAGGGTTCGATTCCCACCCAGGACAAATAATTCTGCGAGGAACAACATCATTTGTTATATTTGATCATTTATCTGTGATCATGTATGTATTTAGAAATATATAAGTATGTTTATCAGCAGTCTGGTTGCCATAGTACAGGCTCTGCCTAGTTTGTGATCAGACGACCGTGTGTAAGATGAGTGAGGTTATATCTCCTTAAGTGAACAGGGGATATATTTATAATTTTATAATAAAGCAAAGGTCTGGTAGATGCATTCCACAAGGTCTTAATAATAAATATTTATATATGTATATAAATCTATGCTTATTAAAAGTACATTTATTTTTAATCTAGCAAGAAACCAATTCGACTCTCCCATAGTTCAAAGTATTTTAAAATACCGTATGAATACAAAAGGCAATGTTTTCTAACCTTTTTATTAACGTTACGCTTATTTGCCACTTTAATGATATTACAATAGAGACCTGTCAATTTGTGCTAAAGTTTAGACTCGAAAATATTCGAAAGTAAGTTTTGTATAATATATAGGTAACTCGTATGAAAAAAATAATTTATACAATTCAAAAAGAAGGTACATGTTAAACCTCCTTTAAAATTTACTTTCATATTTCTGACTTTGATCAATACAAATAAATAATATTTGTCTGTTTGTAATGTCAAAATAATAGTTTTTAAGCTGTAATTTTATTTCCTCGGTAACTATAATTAAAAGTGAGATCTAAATTGTTTTGTCTGTCTGCTTGTTTGTTCTGTCTACTCCGGCTGGACCGGATCTAATAAGATTTTACTATCAGGTAGCTGATTAGTGTAGGAAATAACCTAGACAAATTTTTATGGCGAAAAATTTTTAGGGCAATAGAAATTCGGTTTTTTGAGACACGGTTTGATTTACATTTCCAAATATATATAATTATGCATAGATTATATATCAAATTTCTCGCGGACAAAGTCGCGGTAGTAAAAATAAGTCACGTGCACAAACTATTAAATGGCTTTTAAAATAACCTTATCTTTTACAACTGCTATAGAATAAATTAGTAATAAAAACACGCTTAAATATTTTTTTCAAAAGAACGAATTAATTCTGAACAATTTTATTGTTAAAATGTTCAAATTGATTACTAATCGTTAGCCAGTAGTCGATAGTAATTAATCAATCGAAACATTTTTTATTAATACTAGTTTATTTTGAATGAACATCTAAATGCTATTTTATTACTGAATGTTACTAAATTTAATAATTCTTTTATTCTAAATACATAAATGAAAATATGGTTTATTCAAACTAAAGAATAGTTCTACTTTTAACCATCTGCATTCATCATCAGCTCAGGGTCGTGGCGAGTGGTAAAGTAGGTTAACACACTGAAAAGTTAAGCAATCCTAGCCAGGTCGTTCTATGGATGGGTGACCATTCTAAATACATTAAGCCCCCTCGAACATCTGTGGCTATCGTTACGGGTAGCAGTATTATCCCTATCTCCCAACAACGGTCTTTGTGCAGAACTTCGATATCGCCTAGTACTTGGGTCGTGGAGGTCTGATGGCTACGCGTAAAAAAATCAAAGTTCAGACGTACGCTAACCTTGTTTGGGAAAAAGGCTTACGATAATAATATTAACTATAAACAAGCAAATAATAGAAGGTTAAAATACGGATAAGTGGTGATAACAATTTATAATATTAATTCCAAACTATTATGAAAAAATAATTGTAGTAGTGTTAAGAACAAACATCTGACAGGCATTTAAAACAAAATAAAGACCTATGGCACAATGGTACAGCAGGCTCCCGGAGTCGGGTGAATTAAAAATCTCTGGTTCGCAGGTTTGATTTTCGTCCGGTTTAAAAAATATCTATGCATAAATATGTGTGGAAGTTTCTGTGTATAAAATATACGATTCTAGGACACAGTTAAGCATATAAATAAAATATTCAGACTAATCCAAATAGGCACGAACCCACGACCGACGAAGGATCACCAGAGTACTTTACTGGTGGCCACAGGATTACCAGTATAATTATAACAAACTAGTACCCGTGACACCGTGACACCGCGCGCGTATGTGTCGGTTAACCTGGTAAAAAGAAGTCTATAGCACTCAGCTATAATTATACCTTTCTAACAGTAAAATAATTTTATAAATCGGATCAGTAGTATCGAAGGTTATTTAGAACATACAAACTCATAAACTTTACCTCTTTTTAATTTTAGTATAGATGTAAAACACTTGAATTTACTCCTATTGTAAAATGTCAAGTTAGTAAATAAATTTTTGGTTTATTCAACAACAAAAAATTTCAGTGTTTCAAAAATAACTTTGTTTACGTAGTTTCATAAATTTGGCTTATAGGTTTTTAAGTCAAATTAATGTATTTTTTGACTAACTTGAAACGTCTATATTCCTTTTCCAGGTGCTTACAATCCGAATGAAGACTCAAACCCGGATAACAGTGCGTCGTATCCCGGCATTGGCTCTAATGCATACCAACCTGGTCAAGGTTCTGTTTCTCAGTACAGCGGTTCTGATACCTCGTCAGTTACGGGAAGGCCTCAAGATGGTCAAGAATTTGGTTCTAAATATAATACTCCCGCTGCATCTTTAGGACCTCAAGGCAGTCTGGGAACTGGTGCTCCGCAATATAATGCCCCCACATCGTCTCTGACTAACTACGCAAGACCCGGATCATCAGAAAATCAACTTTCAGGCTCTCCGTACGGTACTTCTGGAACATCACCTACTACTTCAAAGCCTGGATCGCAAGACGGCAATTCACCTGCTTCTCAGTATACTGGTTCTTTCGGACCAGGTTTATCGTCTCAAGTCGTCAATGGTATCCCTACGGGTGCCATTAATTTGGGCGAAAGAGGCTCCACAAAACCTGGAGCTCAATCATTTTCACAAGATCGTCAAACGCGTCCCACTCAATATGGTACTCCTATTTCATCTTCATCTCCAAATTTCCCGGCTCAAGGTCAATCTTCCTTAATGAATAATGTTCCATCCTTTGATTCGTCTTCAGGTACACAATCAGGATTTCCTAAACAGTTCAACAAATCTCCCATATCTCAAACTGGTGCCTTAACCGGTTCCTCCTATGGTTCGAAGAGGCCATTTGAATCTCCAGATTTTCCATCTCAAAATGGCGCTCAATCGCCCACATCGCAGTCTGGTGCTTTTCCTACCTTTGGATCTGGCTCCTTGGGCCAAAGTTCTGGATATCAGTACAGTAGTCCCAGTGCCTTTTCTGCTGGTACAAGGCCTGGAACTCAAAAAAATCCATCACCAGTAAGCGCCTCTTCTGCCCCTCAATTTGGAACGTCTGCAGGAACACCTTTCGGCTCTAATGGTCAAATTAAACCCCAAGATGTTTCTTCAGGAACGATTTCAGGTTCTGAATCTTCCAGACCCTATGACAGTACAGCTACTTCTCAATACAATGGACCAATTTCATCATTTTTAAGACCCAAACCAGAAGTTGACACATCTCCTACTACTCAATACCAAACCCCAGCCGGATCACCTTTTGGTGCCACAGGGCTAACTGGTAGCCAGTCTCCTACTTCTCAATACACCACCCCCGGCACATCTCCATTGGGTTTTAAAAAGCCTGGATCCCAAACAGTCCCATCTTATGCTAGCTCATCTCCTGCTTCTGAATACGACACCTCAGCTGGATCATCTGTAGGTCTTGGAGCTTCTCGACCAGTTAGTGGTCAATTATCTACTTCTCAATACAACGCGCCATCTTTAAGTACATTTGGTTCTGTGAACACCAATTCTCAAGATTTTTCTAATCGTCAGTCTGGGGTAAGTCAACGTCCGCAATTTAACTTGTCTGGTTCTTCTGGTTTCTTTAAACCAACTATTTCTGGTGCCGAAGGACAAATCAGCCAAAAACAAGACGAATCTGGATACAAGTATTCCCGACCCCAAACTCAGTTTGACCAACAAAGAGGAAAACTGTCTGGTTCAAGATTTAGACCTTCGGATACTGTTGTATCATCAAAACCTGTAAACAAAGAAACCGTTATTGGTAGTGGTCTACCCCGAGATAGTTACAATCCTTCAGGCTCTACTCCTAAAGGAACTTCTAATGCATCAGGGTTTCCGAAATTCCAAGCGTCTTCAAGTCAAGATTACCCCGCAGGTCAATCTCTGACTAACAGTCAAGACTCTCCCTTCTCCGGTACCGGACAATACTCATCGACAGGTCTTGGCTCTAAGCCCACCGGTTCTACTTTCCCTAGACGAGACAACGCTGTTGGAAACACACCTACATATCAGTCGGGTCAAATTACCACATCAAAGTCTCCTATGCTTGGCTCTGCTCCTTACCAGTATAATCGTCCAGAGTCTCAAGGACCTGGACAGATAGGTTATAAACCAACCTTTGAATCATCAGGAGATAAAAGACCTGGACAAATAGGCTCTCAGTCAACCTTTGGATCATTAGGGCAAGAAAGACCTGGTCAGGTAGCTTATCAATCAAACTTTGGATCATCGGAACAGAAAATACCTGGACAGGTAGGCTCTCAGCCAAACTTTGGGTCACCAAGTCAAGAAAGACCTGGACAGGCTGGCTATCGGCCAACTTTTGGGTCGTCAGGACAGGAAAAACCTGGACAAGTAGGCTATCAACCTACCTTCGGATCGTCACTACAAAAACTACCAGGGCAACTTGGGTCTCAACTTAGCAATGGCCCATCAAAAGACGAAAGGCCTGGACCTAGACAGGAGGGCTCTCACTCCGGATACGAATATTCAAAACAGAATAAGCCTGGTCAAACAGGATCTCAGTCTAGTTTTTCACCTTCGTTCCAGGATGTACCTAATCAAACAGGTACACAACCTACCTTTGGTTTTTCAGGACAGGACAGACCTACTCAGAGCACCAACCAGCCTAGTTTCGGTTCTACAGGACAACAACAGCCCGATCAAAAAGGATTTCCATCTGGCTCTGGTACTTTAGGACCTAAAAGGCCTGGTCAAGCAGGATACCAATCACCCTTTACCTCATCACGCCAGGATAGACCCGGTCAGTTTGGAAAAGGAATGCCAACTGAGGACTTCAATGGACCTCGTCAACCACCAAGTTTCAGTCCCGAGGAAGGTTATAAATACTAAAAGATCCAAGGATAGATTAATTTATATGTAAATAGTACTTGAGCATAAGATAAAATGTAAAAAAAAACTTTAATAAATTTCTTTTGTACATAAATGTACGAAAAATATTGAAGAATCACTATGTGGTCTATATATTAAATTATAATGTGCGAATCTTATTGCATTCTTTTTTTTCACACTAAACTAGCGAGAATTATTTATACTCAATAACAAGGTATGTTTAGTGCATTTCTCAAAGAAAGAGATAAGTGCTCAACTTCCATTCATTGAGGATACCTATAAACCTATTTTTTACTTAAAATGTATAGAAAGGTAATTTTATTGATTTTTTTGGTAAGATTTTACTTCAAAAATAATCTTATGCATTGTACAGTAAAATTAAAAAAAGCTTTTCAAACATGGTAATTAGAACCGTCAATAAATATGAAATGTTAAAATATGTGAATAAAAACTCACTAAGTACTTAGTAAATTCAATTCAATTTTAAATTCTACTTTAAGATATCATATCAGACTGTAAAACGATTGCTGTCGTTAATCAAAATCCTAAAAGCAAAACAAACATATTACAGAGTTCTCTGCCACAAACAATACTTTCCTGTAAACTTTCCTTTAACCATTGTATTGAATAACCTTTGACTTCAAAGCCTTAGACTGATTGCCCTTCTAATAATAGATTAAAATAAACTAATATATTTATTTATTACTGTAATATATTTCTTGAAAAGCTAGTTGGCAGGTCTAATGGTTAGTGCTACTGGCTGCTAAATCAGAGGATTTCTATTCCCACTCCGGACAAACCTAGACACAGAACAAATGATCGTTCCCATCACACAATTGTGATAGCATGATCATTTGTTCAGTGTCTAAGTGTAAACTATCATAGATATATTTATCTATGATAGTTTGTATTTATAAATATATAGGTATGTTTATCAGCAGTCTGATTACTATAGTACAGGCTCTGCCTAGTTTGGGATCAGACCGCTTTATGTGGGATGTATGAGGTTGTAATTTCTAATAGACTAGGGATAGGTTATGAAAATGTGTACAAAGGCAAACCTGAAAAAATAAATATATATCTAGTTTTCCTAAGTTTTCATTAAATCTTAAATTTAATGTAAAGTTTAATATTTCATATTAGGTTAAATTAACTTTGACTGTGTATTATTTCACCCTTTGAAACGTTTCATGACATAGATAAATATTTAACACCATTTTTATCGTGTTTCAATATCTGGCAAGAAAAGACTCACTGACTATCATATTGCAACATTTAAATTAACATTGAGCAATTTAACCTTTACATATTAAAGTAATATATATAGATAATTCCAAAAAGTAATAAACATAACAAGAATGTTAACAAGAGTTAATAACTTTAGTTATTAAATATATTAAATGAAATGTGCGAATCGTTTTGTTTGGAAACCATATCGTGTCTGACGCAAGCGTATTACGAATGAATCGTGAGACTAAGATGCATTGCATTGAGCGTGACAAGAATTGCTGTATAGAATATACTATTCAATATAAAGTATCTTAAATCTATAAAATATCTGATCCGTGTGGTCATGGATTATAAATACGGAGTGTCACCAGCCCTATTCATCCCGTAGTTGTCGTAAGAGCCGACTAAGAGAGCAAACCACGCAGGCAACAGAAACCTGGTGGTACCTTACGCATCAGAAAAGCAAACTTTGCTGACGGATAGTGCTTCGAACGAAGTCTTAACGCTAACTTAACATAATTTCTACCAATATCAGCAAAATTAAGGAGTTTGAGAATATCGTAGGCCATCGATGCACCTGTGCAATCAGAGGCGCATCAATCCACATAAGCTTTCTATAAAAGCGCCGATAGTTCTAAGTCCTCGTTTTTGTAATTTGTCTAATTTGGATGTATGTATTTTGCACTGGAGTCGTATAAATAACAACCAAAATCAAGACGGCTTCTTATCAATGATATATAAATTTTACGCATGTGTTTAGTATGTATACCCCCATGAGCTCCCTGATAATAAGCTTAATAAATTTAAACATCTATGTAGTACATTTGTCTTTCATAAATTATTTTCCACAAGTTAAGCTTCTATCTAATGAAATACCCAAGTATCTGACATTATCCATTGTATTTAACCGTTGCCCATATAATTCTAACGTTGGTAATATTCTTCTGCGACCTCTACTTAAAACACAAAAATTAGTTTTTGTCGGTGATAAAGTCAATCCTATTTCTCCTAGTAAATTATTAAGACAATGGAGTACACTCTGTAACTGACATTTACAGAAATTAATATTTCTATCACTTATAAAAATAAGAAAAAAATATTCCAAACTAAACCATAACTAACTACTAAACTAACAATAACGGAGACAACGAAACTCCCTTTATTTTTACGTGTGGCAGCCCCCCCGGGCCATCCCCCCACCAGGGTTTGCGTAGTGGTGTGTCGGAATCGGACCGACTAAAACCATACGATGTGCCATCAGTCCATATTGTTTCTACTCCCTCAACGTTATATGATTTTATTTTAAGATGTATTTCACTTAGAAAAGACCCGAGATAATTACAAATCTTGGACCCAACTTGCATTTCATCTATTATCATCATCAACAGCCAATAAAAGTCCACTGCTGGATACAGGCCTCTCCTTAGAAAGGAGGTTTTGGCCTTCTATACCACGCTGGCCAGACGGGTTAGTATAGGGTTTGTTTCAAGTTTTCCTTCTCTTTGCAGTGCCCTTTTTTTTTTTTTTTCCCGTGCGGAAATCCCCTCGGATACCACCTGTCGGTGGCATGTCGGACTCGAACCGACTAAAACCGCACGCCGTCTCGGGTACTAATAGCCGGGGAACCAGGTATACCCTAGAAAGGAAGTCCCTGGTGCCCCGACATACCTCGGGTCATCTACAGACGAGTAGACGACCCCCCCCCCCGTGTGGGAACCCCATGTTCCCTGTGCTCCCCGGCCTGCTTCTGCTAGGGTGACAGATGGCCTCACCTGTCACCCCCAGGCCTGCGCTTATGGAGGACGGAGGTCGTTCTGCGACCTCCGGCGCCTGAGTCGCCTGCGGTACCTGGCCCGTTCCCGGGCCTGGCGGGCCGGGAGAGTCCTAAACCTCTCCCGGTCCCGCTCCGCCGTCTCCTTTGCGAGCATAACTTGCTCGCAGAAGGAGACGGCAGAGTTCCACTCACTCTCGCTCCGCACGATAGCCGCAATCAGGCTATCGAGCGAGAGAACTCCCACTCCGATGGCCGCCACGAGGTCTCGCCTCTGCTCAACCCACGCCGGGCACTCTGCTAGCGTGTGGAGAGCCGTGTCCAGGGTCTGGCCATCGCAGTGGTGGCACTCAGGCGTTGGCTCCTTGCGGATCAGACACAGGTGATCCCCGAAACATCCTTTCCCAGTGATCACCTGCGTCAGTCGGTCTGAGAGGGTCCCGTGACGCCTCTCGAGCCAATCCTCCATAACGGGTCTTATCGCCGCGATGACGGCGTGCCCGTCTTTGCAGTGCCCTGCGTAGTTTGCTCCCTTAGTCGGCTCTTACGACACCCACGGGATGAATAGGGGCTGTGACATTCCGTATTCTTAATCCGTCATCACATCTAAGTTTCTCGTAACAGATTCTACACAAACACTATTGTATGCATTTTCTATATCTAGAAAACATGCTGCCGTAAGATTATTTTTAGTATAAACTAACCTAGATAGTGCATCCAAACATGATTGTGATTTTCTAAAGCATCACTGTATGTTGTGAGAAAAGCTTGGTCTTTTCAACAAACCATTCTAGGCGTTGACTAACCATTAAGTGAAATATTTTACACACACATGACATTAATGAGATAGGTATTAATGTGATTTCATTATTATTTACTATTTTACAAAATAGTTATGTTTTTTCAACCAATCGAGTCCTAATATACTGACGAGTTACAATCAAGTGTGTTGCAGTTTGAAGTCTATCACATCTCTGACCCTAGTAAATTGTCACAGCGGGTGCTAACTGGTATTCAAATGACTAATAAATACATAGACTTACATTATACTTACTCCATTGAGTTGGCAAGGAGGGGCTCGGCAACCCCAACCTCTGGCCCAACCCCACTCCTGCCCATATCGTTTAACCAAATACGATGCTGGGTCAGGCAACGGACCTGTGAAGCACATAACCGGAGGTGGAAAAACTCACCCGGCTGCAGACAGTCCAAACTGGTGCTGAATCAAGTCACACCACGACTCACCTGCAGAAAATCAGAATGGTCGTCGGAACTATTACAGGACATCTAGCCCTGAACCGACAACCCTGTGCAGGGGATGTCTGGAAGCTGAAGAAACGGCCGTCCACGTAGTCCTGGAATGCGAGGGAGTGGCCACACAACGGGCAAGTATCATTCCTGACATAAAGTCGCTCCTAGAAGCCTGTGAACGCCCCAGGAGGCTTCTGCGCTTCTGGAAGGAGCTTGGCTGGCTCACCTAGTCAACCAATCCTCGACGCATAAAGGATCACTCTGAGTCTAAATGCGGAAACCGAAGCCCACCACCAATACCTATACCAAAAATATACTTACTCCATTATTATTAAGTTATACTAACGTTAATAGTAGATTAGTAGCCAAGGGCTGTAAGGCATCAATTGCAGCCCGAGATATTTAGATAGTTCGAGGGTGCAATTGATGCTTACACCCTAGCTAACTATTCTGCTTTACATCTCGATTGTGAGGTAAGTAGAAAAAAACCGGCATTACAAGAATAAAACATTTTATTTGTTGAAATTAGAAGTTTCAGGCAAAATATTGTTAATTGCTGCTTCAGCTTCCATTTTCATTGAATCGGGAGCGCAGCTTATATCTTCATCACTTTTTAATGGGACTAATCCCACCCACACGCCCACCACTGTAACTCCTGTACACCAGGATCCACAGCAGATCTTCATCACTTGAAGAACTCATGTTTTTTCTTAATTAGCACGTAATTATAAAATAATCCCAAAATCAA